GGTGACGTGGAAGAGATCATGTGACTAGGAGATGAAGGTTTAGGGGCCATTGTGTGGCCAGTTAAAAAGGACTGAAGAGAACAAGACAAAATGGAGATGTTCTGTTAGCATACAAAACGTCCTCACTGACTTTAAACCAATCTGTATTTCTTTAAAGAATGTGATAACGAACAGATTAGTACGTGAGTGAGATACACAAAACTAAACTTTGTAACTATCTCATAAGCGAAAAAATATGTGTATTAGAAGAAAAAGATCAAAATCACATTCTCACTCTCAACATGAAACAAGTCTGGAGTTTATAACTTTAAGATATCATATATATACTACTGAAAAAGTTAAAAATAGAGACAGGTGAACTATGCGAATAGTTGAACAATTGAGCCACAATTTTACTACTAATATATAGAATATAGCAAGATATTTACATTGTTAATGGCAATGAATATTTAAATACACATATCTGGAATTTCTAAATGTCTGTATATTTCAGATCACAAAGATACATTCCAGAAACAGTATACCTTGTCAATCATTCTTATGAAATGTGTGAGAAATTTAAGAGTTTAGAAAAGAGAAAGAGAAACAGAGTTGTATAGACGAGGATATGGAAAAGATGAGTGTTTTAGATGTAGATTACCTTCTCAATTGTAGGTTATCCCAATTTTTCTGTAGTATTACTTGCTTTGTTCTGCTTATTATCTGGTCATGTAGTCACTCACTCTTCAACATCCATGTACCCTCCTCGTTGCCCTTTCTTTGTTTTTCTTTTGCTAGAGTGTTGATAACTAAGACTACATGCGAATGCATAAATATCGGGTTGTAATCTGAATAGCTTGGTAATTGACTTTTGTGTCGGTTGAAACTGATTCTAAACTCTAAGAAGACTTAAAATTCTTCAAAGATGCGTACGTATTTTTGCTTCTTGCCACTGGTTATTGACTTTCAATGCTGGGTTTGTAAGGTTAGCACTAGGGGGGTTTATATGATGACTAAAATCATCTCGTTGTGTTCTGAATACAGGGAACCGATATTTGTGTCCTAATGTATAGCTGACTACAACTTCTTTGAGACATGGATAGTCAAAAAATGATCAGAAGACAGTAAAAAGACGGTTATTCGCCGTTAGATCTAAGCACTTCTGTTCAACAATAATAATGATAATAACGTCAAAAACTCCAGCTTACCTTAACAGTGCCGCCAAATAATTTTCTATATTAACAAAACAAGTGCTGTACAAGAAAATTACTTAACCAGAATTCAACTTTAAGAAGGACTTGATAAGTAAGGTGGGAGATCAAATTTCTGTGAGAAAGAATAGCACACTAAATAATTCTTCTAGACAGTCTAAGGTCAGAATCACCTTGATTAAATCAAGCACAATCTCAGCTGTAACACAAGACAACACAATATCAATAGCATCCCACGGCTAATAATAATAATAATTTTTGCTTTGTTCCAGAAACAGTACTAATGATACAGCAAGGATATTTCAGCATTCAGTACAATATTGCATCTAATTTACTCAAAACGACAAAAAATAAACAATTACATAATAATAATAATAAAACGTTGTTAAAGCAGCTATGTGGCAATTACAGTGTGCGAAAAGGAGAAAAATATGCATAAAGTATAAAATTATAGTAGTAATAGTAATAACAACTAAAATAAAATAGCTAAGTTATAATTAAACGATAGAAAGGGTGACACCATAAAATTACAGAAAGATGAACAATGAAAGGGTCGATTCACTCTGCTAATTACATGGTAACTTATATGTTTCACGTCTAACAGAGTCTTCATCACATAAAATACGGGCTAAATACGGTATTGTAGAATTTTTGTACTTAGTGGTTCGAGCATATAACTTTTTATATTGACTTCTCGTCCTACCTGATGAGATGCAAGGGGATAGTTGTGAATAAAGGGGGTGCAGAGGGTCTGACAGTACGGCCTTTGCCCATTTTGTACAGGATTTTATATGTCTCTCAATTATAATATTGGCGAGCTCACGCAGTGGCATATCATAAGCCATACTCCCAGGATTTAATACCCTTCGTAATATTTGAAGTAATAGAGAAGATTTGTAGCTCAGGTGGATGATTTGCAATTAAAAGTGTTCTCTGAGCTGGTTGGTGACATAGTCTTTTTTGAGAAGTCCGGGAAAGATTAATGAAGAGCAATAGAGTACAATAGGTAAAATACAGGAGTTTAAAAATTGCAGAACTAAAGGTTGGTTGATACCTGATTGTTTTAACTTTTTAATGTAGAAGGTTAGACGAAACATTTTCTTAGAGAAGCATTAAAATTAGAGACCAGGCAGTGACAAAGACAAATAATAACAATCAAGTTAACATATGATATTCAGTTGTGAGAACACTGATATGCAGTCTAGAAGAAAAACGGATGATGACTACACGGTTAAAAGAAACACCCAAGTAAACATCAATATTGTGAATGGATGAATGTTTCTAGAGGTATACCATCAAAAATGTAGGTTATGGGTGAAATTAAGTATGTAATACGATTTCACCATAAACTGACATCGATTAGAGAACCAGTGCAAAACTTGGGAGTACTGGACAGTTGTTTCTTCCTAGTTTGGGACTATTTGGCAGCACGTACCAACCACCAGGGTTCGAACCCACGACTTTCTAGTTAAAAGGCAAGTTTGTGGACCATTAAGCCACTGTTACTTCATCCAGTGGCCCATGGATTCCAGCTTCTGCCAACTCATGATATAGCGCGACCATTAGTGAATGTCATCGGTGAGGAGTATTTGTCCTCAAATCCGACTTGCTGTCTCTCATTGGCCACAACTTCCCCTGGAACCCAGGTAACTACCTACATGATGGAAGCCAGTCACTAGCTGGCTAAAGCGTCCCAAACTAGGACGAAAAAGTCAACTATGTAGTACTCCCTGGTGGTTTCAAATGTCCCTCTAACGGATGTCATTTCACGACAAAATCCTGTAACCAATAAAATCCCTGCAACCGACACTTAAATAAGTAAAATGAAGGACATAAAATAATTGACAGAAGTGAGTAGAGCTCAAATTTGAGTTGAAAGAGAGTGAAGTTATGATCACTGTCATTAGCAGTAGAAATGTAATAGTGATAAAGGATGGAAAATAAAAAGAATTAAACAACATTTCCACATCAAATATCGGAACAAAACTAGATCCATTTTCGGTTCAGTAAATAAGCAAATTTCTGTATGTATGCAGAGTTCAGAAGTTAACATGCAAAATACTATAACTTCTAGGATTTAAAGAAGTTCGACCTGTACTTCTCTGTCAAGATTTCTGTGTACTTTGTAGATGAGTGTAAAGTCAGTTTGCAAGCTCACCTGGTGTTCAGAATCAATAAAAATGCTTCAGAATAAAACTTCGCTGGGGATCGTTTCTCCCCTCTGTAAAATCATGAGTGTAAATATAGCAGGTAGGGAGTACGGACGACATATCTAGCTCCACAGGATTACTTGAACTGATAGATACACAGTGGCGAGGTGAGCAGTTTTTCAATGAGAACTGAGAGCTTGTCTGGACACTAGTCATTAACTAGTGGAATGTGTCTAGTCCTACTCTTGGTGCAGACTGAATTCTATCAGTCAAGTTTGAAGTGTGTGGGGAGGGGTGCATTTTGAATTGTTGATATCGGATGGTTGGAGGCAATCAGCGGGAAGCCCTACCTGAGCTAGGTTTCGCGCTAGTTTGCACTCATCAGCAAGGGGTATTTGCAACCTTTATTGAACTCATGTCCCTTCTGAGATTCAAACCCAATTCATCCAGTGCTGCAGCCAAAGACGTGACTAATACAGTCTAACAGAAGGTCGCTTGTGAGCCTGATTAGCTGCTCAGTGGTAACATCTCTGACTGTACCACTGTGAGACACTAGTTCGAATATCAGGAGGGACGTAATTTCCTCCAAGGCTGAAGATATGCCTTTCTGATAGGTGAGTGTCGACAAGTACAAAAGCTAGGCCAGTTAGAGCTTCCTATCGATTGACTCTTGACTATCTAATATCAAGAATTGAAAGTTTACCTAAACTGTTATTATCATTGTTCCTTTTGGGTTACTAGTGGAACATAGTGCTTCAACTGCACGTCTACACTTGCTTCTGCTCTACTTTTCACTTGCATCCATGTTAGTCCATACTGTTTCAATTCCTCTTCGCACGATCTCTACCATGTCACCTTTCGACGACCCACTCGCCGTTTCCCTTCCGGGTTCCACTCGAGCTATGGCCTGACGCGCGATGTCACCCAGTGGCCTCCTCAGCTCAGTGAGTGTCCAATCCATCTCCACTTTCTTGTTGGTTCTTGTTCTTTCCGGCCATCTGATCTTCAGTATAGAGCCAGCGAAGACAGTTAGTTGTTGATAAAGGTGTGCAACAGGCTGTTGGAAATATTCTTTGTGACACACTGGCCAAGTTTCTGATCCGTATAGAAGAACTGACTTGACGTCGTTTGTATTGAAAATCGGAATTTTGTTGTTGATGGTGAGTTGAGTGACGAAGATTTCCAGATTGGTTCCAGGTTGATGAATGTGTTTCTCGCCTTCCCGATTCTCGATTTGACATCCTCGTCCGTTCCTCCTGTAGTTGAGACAATGCTCCCTAGATAAGTAAGTGAATGAAGTAACTTCTTTCAAATCCCTCCCGTTGATGGTGATTGGCGCTGGATTACCTTAACTGTACACATGCATTATCTATTGATGAGGTAAACAGCATTAAATTTGTCATACTAACTTCGTCTCCAATATAATATACCGATCCGAATTTAGAAATCAACGTTCATTTAGCACTCACTATATAATCTACACGTATATGCAAATGACTAGCACTCAACTAAATCAACTAAATTGTACCTGATTTCATCAATCACTCACACACACACACAGAGGCACACATATTCAGTAGTATTTTACAAATAATTTAAAAAAATAAGAAATTTATACTTTCTTTCCTCTTTTATTTTCCTTTAACTTTTCTAAAATCAGGTATATTTTCGATACTCCCGTGGAACTTTAAGTGATCCCTTCACATATGATTATTTTAAAAATAAAGAACTTTTAATCCAGCTGCAAGCACGTTGTCGTGGTTGGATATCAAGGAATAGATCTTCACGTGACAGAGTAAGTTCATTGAGGGAAAGCGCAGTTTTCATGACAGATTTTATTATGCACTAATGAGTTCTTTGAGGTTAATATTTGTTGTACAGTTCATTGTAAAATTGAAATTATATCACGTTATGATTTAATCCTTTTACCTACCTGGGAAGCATCGTCTCAACTACAGGCGGAACTCACGATAATATCAAAGCAAGACAAGCTTTCACTACTCTCAAGTCTGTGTGGAGGTCAACAGTGCTAAGCATCAAAAATAAGATCCGGATTTTCAACTCCAATGTGAAGTCAGTGCTACTTTCCATACGGATCAGAGACTTGGCCAGCGCGTCATAAAGAGCATCTCAAACAAACTACAGACCTTCATTAACAGTTGTCTTCGCTCAATACACAAGATCAGATGGCGGAAAAAGATCAGCAACAGCGATCTCCGGGAGCGAACCAACCCAGGAACCGATTTTGAAACAAATAGGCAGGAAGAAATGGAGATGGATTGGCTGGCCATACTCTGAGGAAACCATCAAGTGACATCACTAGACTAGCCATCGCTCGAGTGGAACCCGAAATGGAAGCGGCGAGTTAGTCGTCAGTGCAAGGGTGACTTGGAGGAGGTCATGTGAAGAGGAGATGAAAACATGTGGACAGACTTGGAGCCAAGTGAAGACTCTAGCAGAGAACCGAACGCAATGGAGACGCACGGCTGAAGCCCTATGTTCCTCTAGGAATTAAAGCAAACAATAATAATAATTAGATTAACAGTTTTTGCAGAATATCTATCTCGTAGGCTTCACATCATCTGTTTACAGCCAAAAGACATTATTAAGTATATCTACAGAAACAATTTTAACATACTTGTATTGAGTTCATTTTTAAACAAAAATCAATCAATCAGTATATACATACAATAATATAGATATAGTATTAAACACTACTGGGAACAACAATGATCATTAAAAAATGGGAACTTTTAACATTACGTAATCAGATGAAAGAGAAAGGAAAATATCCAGTTACCAAGATGGGCAAAGAAATACTGATAACCGTTTCTTTCTGGACGCATAAGTCAGGTTTCAGTCGCTTTGTGGAGATGGCTTCAACAAACTTAAGGAGAATTGAGCTCTTTTGCCTATTGATAATTTTGAACGATCTTGCGACGTCCACCTCATGACCTGTGTCAAGGAGATGCCTAGGGATGGCACTTTTTGAAGCATTTGCCCCTTTTAGATATAAGCTTTTTGGTACATGTTCAGAAAATCGTGGATATGGTCCTTATTTGTTTCTTCTCGAAAGTTCTTTGTCTAAAGATTGTTAGAAATAACCTTGGCTTCTGATGACAGTCTATATGTCTGTGAACCAAAATAGAAGAAATAACTTGACAACCGAATCTTGTTCGTTATGCTCTTAAATTTTCCATAAACCAACGTCATTTCGGGGACCACTGAAAATCAATGAAGAACTAGGCGCCTGACTATCCTATATCAGAATAAAAATCTCTGAAAGTTCATAATCATAACCTCACCAAGGATTGAATTCACAACCACCACATTACCAAAAGTGTGTGCTACTTATATAAGTTGTAAGTGTAACAAGTCAAGACGCTTTATTAGTCCGGCCGCGGATATTATAACCCATTTTTACGTACCTTGGCTATTACTAAAATGTATGAATAATTGCTGTAGATATGATTGATATTGCCCATCTTGGTTACTCTATCTGTCCACATTCAAACTTCTGCTAACTGAGCAGTAATCCATGAAGAATATCACTAGCTAAGAAATTATGATTTATTGGAAATTCTCTCAGATTATATCCCTTAATTATGGCTTTTATACTCCAAAAATTATAATATAGAAGCTTACTGTGTCTCAGCTGTCTTCATTGCTGACATCACGTTCCCCCATGAATCAATCAATAGTTCAGCGAAGAAGCTGTTACAGCGAATTCATCTTCTTTAGCTGTACACAAGCATTTATATGGCAATCAGCTCTCTAACTCACTCAACTTTAACGACTTTGAAAAGGCCTTCAACAGAGAGCGTTGATCCATATGTGATTTCGCGACTACATCTAATCCAGCAGTTGAACAACAATGCTGCATGCCACGTAATCCACACAGGGAAACTCACGGAATCCTTCGAAGTGAAGATGAGAGTAAGACAAGCTGACTGCCTGACTACTATCTCCAATGATTCATTTCTTGATTGCGGTAGACTGGATAATGCGACAGACAGATGGCGGGCAATGAGGAAACAGGCATAAAATGGACCGACAAAATATTCTTGGAGGATCTGGACTTCATCGATGATATATGTCTGATTTTACACAAACTGGAAGATATACAAGTGAAAACCAACAAGTTGGCAGAAGAAGCATCTAGCGGAGATAGAACTTCCTTCAGGTGAACATAGGGAAAACAGATGTAGGTGATGAAGATTCCAGGCCAACAGAAATAGCAACAACAGCAGACAACAATCAGTCAGCATAAATGGGAGAAGTCTGAAGAAAGCAACCTCCTTCATCTAACTACCTACCTACCTACGTGAGAAGCATAGTCTCAACTACCGACAACGGGACTGATGAGGATATCATTAAGGCGAGGATTGGGAAATCAAGTCAAGATTTCATAACTATCAAGTCTGTGTGAAGATCAGCAGCACTGAGCATGAAAAATAAGAAGAGAACTTTCAACTTCTATGTGAAGCCAGTGCCGCGCAGCGTCACGAAGGGCACTTCAGACAAACTGCACACCTTCATCAACAGCTGTCTTAGCTCAATACTTCGCTCAAGATCAGATGGCTGGCCAGAAAAGATCACCAACAGGGAGGGATCTCTGGCAATGAGCGAACCAACCCAGCAGGAACCAATTGTGCGGGAAATATGCAGGAAGAAATGGAGGTGGATTGGCCTGGCCATACTCTGAGAAAACAAACCATCAAGTGAGTGACACCAGACGCCAGACCATCGCTCTCGAGTGGAATCTGAACGGGAAGTGACGAGTTAGTTGGTCGTCATTACGAAGATGACATGGAGAAGGTGATGCGAAAAGGAGATGAAAGCAAGTGGGAAGACGTGGAGTCACGTGAAAACGTTGGCAGACAACCGAAGGCAATGGAGACGTGTGCCTGAAGCCCTATGTTCCTCTAGAAACTAAAGGAAATAATAATTATTATTCAATGCATAGGAGGAGCTGAATAACTATGTGCACTAGAGTTAAGTAATAAGATGACTAATTTAATGAATAAGCCGTAATCGGGATGAGCATAGAGAAGAAGGAGATTATGGAATTATGTAAGGGGAGGAGTGAGGAAGACAAACAAAAAACAAATGAACAAAACTCAAGTCAGCAGAAATCAACAACGTTTTTACCAAAATAATAGAAGTGGTTAAATAATTTTCTTCTCTATGCATAGCTCCAGTTTGTCTATCTAAATGTCTAGAGCTTCAGCGATGCAAAGGAAACAAAAGTGTATTGCCTTTGGTGCAAGTAATGTTTCGTTTCTCTGAACTTCTGAATGGATATTCTTGTCAGTGAATCTCGATGGATATCCATCCATCTTGAAAAATTAAAAAATATGTCTTTCAGAAGGTCAAGTTCTGCTTCTACAGCGTTAGATCTACTGGATGCATCGGATGTTAAGGAAGTGGAGGGGACAAGGGATTTAATTAAATTTCAATTTGGTTCAACAGACACCCAAACCCTCTTACGTATTGATAAATATCAATAACTATGGGTTATGACAACTCATCACTTCTCTTATCACAATTCATTGGATGTACAGAACTTGGAAGAGGTGTGAAATTATATAGGAATAGCAGGTAAACAGATTAAAAACAAAAATGTTACGTAACATTGTGTGAAATTTGATAACATAGAATTTAACGTTGAAAAACAAAATTGATTTAGAATGACAAGTGGAACGAGTGAAATAATACCGGGGATAGTTCAAAATGAGAATAGTAACGACAGAAGACAAGGGCCAAGCAACAGATCGTTTATTTACGAAATCAACAGATATTTATAGATTTTTATATATATTTATTATTAGCGTTATTGTTAGCAGAGAAGCGATGCCTTGGTTGTTTTCTTCCTGAACGATATTCTGTCATCTATTTGTTGCCGTTTCTTAGACAGTTCGTTGATATATCTGCGAATCGTATCTGCCCACGTTAAGTTCTCTGTGATTGGTTGTTGAGTTCCTCAAGTTTAGGCTTTGTTCTTGTTTTCTCTTCTGACCCCAATTAGGGACATAAACATTGAAGCAAATTGTTGCTTACAATTTTGGCTTTCAGACAGCTCTCACCACACTTGTCCCTCCGTCAAAGACTTTCTACTGAAGTTGGTTCGGTCTTCTTGGTTCTGGTGGCTTTTTTAGTTTGTCTTGCTGTCCGGAATTCCGGCACTCACAGACATTCACCTGTTTCTCTTTGTTTACATTTGCGATCGTATGAACGTGACTCCGTCTCATAGTGACCATCTGTGGTCCTTCCCAATTTGAAAGTTGTTTTCCTGACCCTGAGGGGCATTCGTCAGTGTTTCGCTTCACGCTCTCACATGTTGCTATAGTAACAGTTGACGTAATAAAGAAAGAGTATACAAATTGAATAAACAAAACGAAAAGATTTATAGAGCCAAAACACGATTAGGATGACCATACTTTAGCATAGAGGGATTAAGACCATGAAAGTTGAACGGGTTGAATGAACATTTTCTCCATGCAGAGATCCGGCTTTTCTGTTTCGATGGTCAGAGCTGCTTCAGCAATACAGATGAGTCGGACGGATACGTAGTGATTTGGGCAAATTACTTTTCGCCTTGTCGATGACTTTAAAGGCGGAGGCTGTAGAGATAGGGTGATTATTATCCACCTCCTCATAACCATGCAGGATAATGTGTTTTTGAACCTTCTTGAACATCTGGTCACTATTGGTCACCCTATCTCTAAAACCTCCACCTTTAAATTCATCTACGAGGCGAAAAGTAATTTGCCCAAATCACCACGTTTCCGACTC